ATTAAACAACTTCTATACAACGAAAGGAGACTACGACCACACAAAAGGCCACACCATTTTGGTCTTCATATCTTATTCCTTGTGTTATCTCTGGAGGCTCCTCCAGAGTTTGTATCAGAGTTGGGATAGCTCTTTGAACAGAATTTTTTTTGTACATGGACACAACATCAAAACTTACTAGCCTATCTTCCTCTGAAAGTGTCTGTTGATCAATCAATTTCACTAAATCATACGAATTTCAAACTGAATATAGCCAACGTGATATTTTATGAATCACACCTTCACTATTATTTACAATTAATCTTAGAGGACCAGCCTCCTTGTGAACCTTTGGGAGACTGTAAGCCGTAGGGGCCCATGCATCTCTCCCGAGTAGTGGATTCATTTTCCACTTCTCCATTTCACCATTACTTACGCATAATTTAAGAGCATCATTTAACTTATTCTTAAGTCTTTCCGTTGGGTCTCTCAGTAAAGGCCTTTATGTTTCATTGTCATTTTAATGAACTAGCATTTTTTCTACGTAACTTGACTTAGTCATGACTATCATTGCTCCACCTTTGTCGGCCTTCATTATGATTATATTACTACTACAGAGATATCTACAAACTCTACTAAGAGGACAAGCTTTCTTTGGCGGAATTATGTGGTCAAAATGAGTAAGCACCTCCAGTTCAATGCTATTCCTTACCTCTTCAGGCAATCTATCAGATAAGCTACTTAATTCAACAAGTATTTCCAGAGAATGGTTGACTTCATTTGGAATAGAAAAATGCAATCCTCTTTCCAATCAAAGTACTGCACTATCCTCTAGAGTTGTCTAGAATAATTGATTACCTTATCCTTCCTCATTTTGTCACAACCATGATTAGTACGATTTAAATTAGGCGCAATGTTTCTGGGCCTAATTTTAATTTCTAACTTCCGGAGCTTCTTATTATGTATCCGACACATAGTTCTGTCAGTCGCCTCTCCTAACCCGTTAGCCATGCCTTGTAACTTAATGAAATCCACATCCTTCAATATTTCAGAAAGGGATTGCCTAAGACTAGTTTTGGTTTTAATTAGTTCGTGTAGCTTGTTAATGCTTTTCTCGAGTCTAGTTTTAACTAAACCACACGATACCTGATTAAGTTCCCTATTGGTGGACGTCGGTAGATGAAAACGTGTTAGCGTGAGACTTTTACAGGAATGAGACCCAGCTCTGATGATGTCCACATACGATGGCCGAAAGCTTAGTCCGTTTGCTCCCGTAACGAGGGAGGAAGTTTCGTGGACTGCGTCAACCTGAAGGTCGTATAAAAGCCAAACGGCTGAAATACAACGGGATTCATTCGTCCTCTTCTGGTGAGATCGTTCTACGAATCTCTTCTTTATGCACTTCCATACGAAATGAAAATCCCTCCAACAATGTTATCTCAGGAGATTAATCAAAATATATATTCATACATTCTTTGTACATACATCTTTTTTTTTATCCTCTTATACATTCTTTTGTAGACTTCATCGATATCGTAAGTGACATGGTCTCCAGTGGAGACTATAAGGAAGTGGAAGACCCAACGATCTTCGTTTCTCAGGTAACTGGACGTGGCCCGTTGTCCGAAAACTGGACTAAGGAGCATAGTTTGTCTCAGAAGGGTGCCGATATTCGATACTCGGGCCATGGTATCAGTCCGGCACGCGATGGACTTATTATCGAACATCCCCTTCCCAAGCGAATAATGTGTGCCTACAAGTTGTGCCGCGTCGAGTTCCGATATTGGGGCATGCAGACCAAGGTGGAACGCTTCATTCACGATATTGGTAATGTTAGCCTTTTTGATAATTCAAGTGATTTAAGTCAATATTTTTGGTGTAAGTTCATTTCAAATACAAACAGGGAGTTATGAGTTCGCTACAATTTTGAGCTTACTATCCCCGGGTAAGCCTTGTATATTACTATTACTGGATGCTGAAATTACCTTACACTCAAAGTATCCCCTCCTTAATCGGTAAATCACTTATTATTCATTTAGCGTTCTTTCCTAGTCGAGAATTATGTACATCTTTATTTTATTTTTATTTAGTAAGCCTACGTTAATCAAAGTTAATGCTTATTATATAGCTATTCAGCGTTTATTATTTCTAATGAAAGATCACCTAGGCAATAAGAAAAAGCGAAGAAAAATTGGGTTTTGAGGAATCTCTTATTTCATAATTGTTGATCTTAATCCCATTTCAAGGGAAAGCGTTTGGTGAAGAGATTCGAAAGTCGATCCCACCAGAAGATGACGGCGGATTCCTTTTGACCAGGTGTCGATTTGATTTACGGGAACATTCTTGTTGACGCTGTTTTAGAGGAAATCTTCTTCGATTCCGGTGAAAACGTGCTAAACCTTCGTCCGTCGTATGATGAACATCCTCAA